GCAGCGAATTGCTATGTTTGAATCAAGAATATTTGTCGCACCTAGTGACCCGACTACCAATTAAACCCAAAAAAAAATGTTACGACTGATTTTAGCTTACTCTTGCATTCAGATTTTTACTCACAAGGACCTTCATAATTCCTCGTCCAGAAGCCCGCAGCAGGTAGCAAGGGTAGATTTGGAATCAGCGCTCCAAGCTCTACAAGGCAATATATATCTCATTTCAAAAGGCCACTCCGACCAACCTTTCTTTCCTTGTTAGTGATCAAGTACGAACAGCAGAATCTCGTCATCCGCTCATCACGTCTCCCACCATCATCACAGAATGTTGAAGTCTATATCGCCAGAAAGAGAAAAGGGAGCAAATATGAAGGAGATAACTTCAGCTTCAGATTAAGGTTGTTACCATGACATTGACTTGCATGATGATAGCCTTATTTCAACTTACTCAATGTCATCTAACCCGCAATCGCGTAGTTCTCTCGTATTGGATATACGGACTTTAACATATATTAGTGTCTGTGGAAACAGTCATGACTTGACATAGGAACGAAGCTTTTCTCGATGATTGCAGATTGTGGAATAACGCTAGGAATGATAATGATGAGCAGAAAACACGTAGAGTTGATGATAGCGCGAGCCTTCAAAGAGAGAGTGTTGTCCATAAAATGCATAGAATGACAAGGACATAGTTTCACCCATCACACTAAAACATAACAAAAATGTCACCCCGTCATTCCTTCACCGTCTATTGCTCACAAGGGAATGGTCAGAAGTCGAAGTTGCCAATCCATACAGACTGCATACCATTAGATGCGGCATAAAACGCTGATTCTAAATCTGTCTTCCTCATCTGCAGAGCGCTTTTGTGGTCGAAATTATAAGCCGTTGAAGACCATTATTTTGCTAAGAAATTGTGCGTGTAAAGTCTAAACTTGGCCGTACAAAGCCATTCTCGACTAAGTCTTGGACTAAAACGTGCAACTAGGCCAGTTCATATAACCCGTACCTAGAGGTGAGCTGAAACAGCAATAATGTGCCAATTTCGCAATTTTTGTACATGGTTTTTTCGCAAGAAAGCTGCTCATAACTTCCCCTACAAAAGCGCTCTGCAATTTTGGAAGACAGATTTGAAATCAGCATTTTATGCTGCATCGAACGGTATACAGCTTGTATGGATTGGCTACTTCGACTTCTGACCATTCCCTTGTCAGATTCATGAAAAAACAATGAGGTTCCATACCTTTCGTGAACTTGAGCATTCAAATGTGGACGGTGTTGTGGCATATAGTATCGATTCAAAACGAATCATTCGTACGGTATCTTTTTTCATGCAAAAGTTTGCAGACATATGGTTATGTGTGCTGTCGTAAGAATCAAGTATTTTTGAATATTCGTATTTGATGATTTATTCGAGCTAAAAGTCTTCAGGAAAGATTGTTTATTTGATTATTCAAATAATCGAGTAAATGAAAAGGACCTTTATTCGAATATTTGTTTACTCGACGAACCGAAAAAACAACTTATTCGAAGTTTTCATCAGGTTTAGTTAGATTCCTGAAGTCTGGTGAGGTGTTGATGCGGCTAAGCTTCCGATTCAGCTCTGGTTAAGACCGCATAAAATTGAATTTAAATGCTCTTTTCTTTCTTCCAATATTAGTCCGAAAGGGGAAATCAATGGCAAGAATAGGGCTGTCATTGAAACTTACCTCGGAACGTTGCCAAGAAGTGAATTTTCAGAGGACACTTAAGGCTTTAATATACAGCAAGTCGAGGCAAAATCCTTTTCCGTATGGACTGATCCGCAAAACCCGTAGAGTAATAGACGAATAGTTTGAGCAGCATTCAGTGCAGGATTTCTTCTTCTTTCCAGCTTCTTGTGTCCTTTTTATGTTTACGGTGATTTTCCTGGCAAGCACTGAGACAATCGCCGAAGCCGTGGCCCTTCATTTTTGACATGCAAGTTTCGCTAATTTTTGAAACTTTTATTGGAGACTTTGCAACACACCTTGAGCTATGGGAATTAGCAGAGCGCAAGGGCAGGCTCTGAGGACATCATAAGTTGAATTTCATATCTCCTTAGCCACCTGTACCTCGAAAGTTCGTTTTTGGGAGCGCTCAGAGGGGGCACTCTCAATGTAGTACCCTTTAATTTAGCTGGCTCGGTGACTGGAAGGCAAAGCGGTACTCTTCCGTTATTCAGAAAATATTTCCAAAAGGTTTCCACAAAATACGTTCTGTAGTTTTAGAACATTTTTCTGTAGATTCGACGAGGACTGCCTCCCTGCCACGAGACAGGAAAATAATACATTTTGGTCCAGTTAGACATGTTTTTCTCATCATTTCCGGTGATGTAAAAGAGCATTTGTGATCATCTTAAAGCTGTAAATGTTTTCTATGAGAGCAAAACAATCTAAAAGTTATATCGAACATCCTTATCGTTTCAAGCAATGATTCAGCATTGTTCTTCTCTTCAAATTTTCGCCTTGCGAATTTGGCCGGACAAGACTATAAATGATGGCTTGAAGTTCCTCGCTATTGCTTGTTTTGTCATTTAGATAATGGGATCCTAGTCCACTTCTCTATTCAGGGCAATTCTAACCTGTTTAGTTAATAACAGAGTGACGTTATTATGATAACAATGTTCATTTTTGATACTGTTCAATCGAAATGGGGCCACCATTGGCTAAAAGACAGATTGAACTTACGTTGCTAGGTAGGGCAACTTAAACTCTTGGTTGAACCTGTTGAACGTGTAAATGACTGGTCAAATTTTTTTGACACGTGGCAGGAAGGCTGACACTCCTTTCTGTGAAGTCGGTACCAAACGTGGTATGAGGAAGAAAGCAATATCCTTCTTTGAAAAAATGGGCCCGGATAACGAATACCGGCGGAGCATCGTGACCTAATTAAGGCTATAAAATGACCAGAGAGCATGTTGGCGAGGGAGGCGCAGACGGCGTCACGGGTGCGAACGGCCATGTTAGATCACAAAGCCTCGCCTTTCAGCCGCCAAGCCAGTTGAATCAAAGATCATATCCTTCGGCGCTATCATAAAGCATGTTAGTATATAGTTGTATTTATGTTGCATGGATCTATGGGAAAATTGGAAGTATGGAAAACAAAAATTAAAGAAGTCTTCAGAAAACAGAGAATTGAAAATACTACTGTATAGCCAGTACGACGGTGGTTGAAGAAAAAAAAACGAAACGAAGAAAACAGAATGAATCAATGAGCTATCTTTCTTACTGATAAGTTGGGGTAAAGTCCAGGATTCCACTAATCCAACACATTAAGCTCGTCATATCGTCTCTTATATGAATGCTTCAATTTCGAACCCTGAAATAGTCAACGGACCGTCAGATTGACGGTCCGTTGACTATTTCAGGGGGGCATGGGAAAATTCAAGCAACGGATGAGTATTGTTGCTTAGATGGCATTTTTTCCTTGGAATCTAACTGACTAACGCGATTATCGTTATGAAAATGGGTGAGAACGAATAAGTTGAAAAAGAATATAAGATCTGTTCAAGTTCTACGAGCTTGCAATCACACATTTGAAAAGGCGCCAGTCTTACACCATGCTCTATAATTACAGGGATCGTATAAACCAAGAAGTTCCGCCTTGACTTGCTATTTCTTCACTTTTGTGTAATATCAGAAATCCTAACATTTTTCATTTTCATAAATCATTTTCGGAAAGGTGCCTATTACTATTAGGCACCGTTTAGTATGGACAACTTTTACAAAGAAGGCACAAACGAATACAAGCAATCGATAAATTAGTCACTTGTAACGATTAAATTCAGAGGATACAAGGAATGTATATACACACTGTATTTGTAGGTCATGCAAAGTACACAGCTCGCTTGTGCAGGTAATTGACCGAACAGAAGGTATTAAACACTTCAATCTGTTCAAATTTGTTTTATTTCAAACTATGTAAAACATATAGTTTATATTGGGATACATAGGAACAGGATTAGCATGCAACTGACATTTATATTTATTCATAGAACATGTTGACTTGAATGAAATAAAATAAGAACGTTGCCTATGGAAGAACATGCAGAGAGAAAAGCTTGATAGTGTAAGTACAGTCGAGTAGATTCTTTGGCGATTATGGCGCGCTTCGGTACCAACACTAAAATTCACGCAATAACAAATATCTAGGCCTGTAGTGCCGACATCTAGCACGAGCAGGAGAGCAGCTTAGGCAATACAGCGTAGCTATTTCTTAAAATCAGCGTCCAGGCAAATCTGGACATACGGGGTTTCGATATGGAAAGTAATTTTGAGGCCTTAACTAAGACACTGGCCAAGCGGCAGCTCAAATGATGAACTCACATTTGGAATACTCGCCTCCATGGACCCGGAATCGTATTCGCATGCATTCATGGCGCGACACGCGTGGGTCTTTGCGCGGAACTGATGTGTCGCACCATGAATCCATGCGAACATGATCCAGGGGTCCAGTCGAAAGTGAATATCTCAAGTGTGAGCTCACCGTTTGAGCTGCCGCTTGGGCAGTGTTTTAGTTAGGGCTCCGAGATTGCCTCCAAGTGAGATCCCCATAGTCCCAGATTTGCTTGGTCGCTGCCTTCAAGCACAAATTTCTGGACAGAATTCCTGCCAGCGCAAAGACACATGTTCAAGGACAAATCTAGTTGACTGTACAATCACAGCATAACTTAAATTAGTGGTTGACAGAAAAGCACCTGCTAAAGACTATATTCTGTTTGTGTGCATATGCGTTTGAGTCAATCTTGCCCATTCGTACACGAAAGAGCTTATTTTTAAGTTGTTCAAATGCACTTGTCGTTTATATTTAAACATACTGCTCCTGCAGTATATAAACGAGGAATTGGTCTGTAGTCAACATACGGAAGAAAATGTTCCAACTTCTCTCTGTATTAGCGGTAAGTCATAAGTCCTTGTTTTATCTACTTGTTCGCTATCTGTTGTTTTGCGAGATTGTATGTTCTCCAGATTGTCCAAGCTATGATCATCACCTCAGAGTGCCGCCCCTACTCGTGGGAACAGGAACCACTAGGTGGCATTGTGTGGTGGGTCCAGCTCAGCGGCGGCACCATGAACAAACCGCCGGTAAAACAAATTTCAAAGACTATTAATACCTTCAGTCTAAGGTCTTGCAACAAATTCTTATTATTTATTTGCAGGAATTCGATGAAGATCTTAAGAAGAATATTGGTACTATAACGTACGAAGTTAGGTACGCTGAATATATGGTGTCGAAATTATTTCCACAAAGCTTGTGAATTTAGTAAGGATGCTGAACCGATTAAGTTCATGGAAACGACCCGTGATTTCGTGGCAAACTTGGTGAAAGAGCCTCACCATGAGGATGATGCTACATACAATGTGCTGCAACAGGTGATGTCGGGACTACTTTTCTTTTATTCTGAGTATGATGAGATAATGAGATAAGAAGGACGAGGTTTCGAAGTTCAGAGAAAGCAGTTGCTAGCAACGAGCGCTAGTTCTGAATAGTAGCGTTAAGAACTAGTCGCAATTTTTTGAACTGTCAAATTTCTCGTAGACAAAGAACCATGCATGTTCTTTTGCAAAGATCTTGTCTATATTTTGAAACAGTGGTGTTTAGACAAACAGATGTCTTTATGATGACAGAATGATCCACTTCTCTATGCCTTGATTTTTTTTTCGCACTCAGTTCAAATAGGTTTCGTTAGTAGTTCAGCTAAAAAGTATTGGATTGTCCTAAAAAAGCAGGTTCGCTTGATGGCGGCTGTGTAAATATAAAAATGTGGAAAACATATCTTTCGATAGAGCAAAGTAATCTCTACAATATAGCGCTAGAACGATCGCAAGAAGTTGAAGAGCACGTAAAGCTTGAAAACAAAATCCAGAAAGATTCAAATACTCAAAAAACAGACCGTCTAAGAAAACCTGCGGACTTCTAACTGGTCAGGCATATAATGTTCAAAGTCAAACATTCGTATGTAGTTCCGATATTTTTTCAACTTTAAAAATAGAGAAAATGATTGTTGGCATGCATTAGCATATGCAATGCTGAGCCATTCTGACCAAAACATTTCTATACACAAATCTTTAGAAGTACAGCCATAAATTTCCAGCTTCCTTCAAGGTCCATTTCCGGGGAACGTTGAATTCAGCATCTTATATATAAAGCTGAATGTCTGTCTGTCTGTCTGTCTGTCTGTATGTCTGTCTGTCTGTACGTATGTGCGGAATAGAAATTTTTATTTCTGAACCGATCGGGACCAAACTTGGCACACATATACTTCGGGGCAGGGAGCGTGTCATAGGCTACTTTTCGTTATCGATCGATGTCGATTTTATCGATTTTTTGCAAAATTTGAGCTAGGGGGCTGGGATTTTGCAGAGGGGGGTAATCGAACATGCTGATCACCCCCGTGGGGGTGATCAGCATGTTCGATTACCCCCCTGTGCAAAATCCCAGCCCCGTAGCTCAAAATTTGCAAAAAATCGGTGAAATCGACATCGATCGATAACGAAAAGTGGACTATGACACGCTCCCTGCCCCGAAGTGTATGTGTGCAAAGTTTGGTCCCGGGCGGAGCCGGGTTTGCCATCTAGTAAAATATAAAAATGGGATATTTCAGCGTTTTTATCCCATTTTAAAGACTCAATCTTCAGCATTGTAAAAATGCAATAAGTTTGTATATAAATGTTTGATGTGGGCATCTTATGCGTAATCAAGTTGAAGTCCGCAGGATTTTTTCGGACGGAGATTCGATGGGTAGCATAAGATTAAGAAAGAGAGATTATATACCCGATTTATGAAATTCAGTGTTTGAATTTTTTTTTGGATTTTGGTTTCAAACTTCACGTGCATCGAACGTTTTGCAACCGTTCCAATGGAGTCATGTAGAGTTTGCTTTGCTCTATCGAATGAAATTTCCATGTTTTGTACAAACATTGCCGCAATTGCGTAAGAAACTTGCCTTAGTTTCCAGACAACCTAATAGTTTCGTTTTGACATGCAAAGTCGACAAATAATCATAATTGTCATTCAGCTAAGATTTTTCTGAAGAAGCAGTTTTGCCTTTCTCTGTCAATCACTAATTATTTCACATTTAGCCTCATATTACAAGATCTCAAAAAATTTTTAACTTGACTTCATATGTGTTCTTTTACTACGTTTTGCCATGCAATCACTACATTTTGCTTTCAACTCAACCAATTTTCGAAGCTGAAACTTTGAGAAGTGACAAAAAAGTTAAATTTCCCGCTTTTCTGCATCGTTTCATGTGGAGAAAGTTTTGATACTTTTTCTTATCTTATCCGGACTCATTTTTTAAAGCTGTTTTTAAGATGTTTTCATTGTTTTTTTTTTTTGCTTTACCATAGAGCACTATTTGATAGGTCCTATGAGGACCGTCTCCCTCCCACGTGCAAAGATATAAATGAATGTGTTCGATTTCAAATTAACAGAAATTTTTTTTTCAAAATCGCTTCCGATGAGGTACGAAAGCATTTAAAATGACTCAAAAGCAGTTCATTCTGTTTTTTGTGCAAGTATAACAATGCAGAACTGTTTTCAACAAAGATTCATAGGTACTTTCCTTTTTAAGTTATTTCCTCGTGCGGAGTTGTCCAGGAAAGTATTTGAATGACTGAAGACTTAGCTGTTCCACTCTCCTATTTTGGGCATTATTTTGCTAAATATTTGCTCAAATAGTACGATTTACCTCAAATACGATTTCATGGTACCCTCATTGAACAATGACCCAAAGAGGTTTGTCTGCAGCATTTTTTGCATCCGTCAAAAACAACCGAATCTTTCTTTCAGTCAGCGAAATATATCTATTTTTTATATCAAAAGACCTGCGATACAAACACTGCTTTCATCGCGACTGGCAGTGGAGCTTTTGAACATATGGTTTCTTTGGTCTGCGTAATTTGAGGTCTCTCCTGAAACGCATCTGCAAAACACCATTTGGAGCACACTTCCTTCCGAAGATAGGATTACGAATGTTTTTGGAATGGCAAAGTGGGAAATGTTTGATAGCTATTTTATGACTATGTAGTTTTTTGCGACTCGATGCATATGGTACTTCGATTTTTACAACAATGACGTTTTCCAACTAAGTACTCTGTGCACAGGTCTTGTATTCCAATCGACTAGCCGACCTTGTTAAAGTCCTTCCTGATGAAAGCTGTTGTGGCATATTGCACTCGTGATGTCAAAATTTAGGAGACTGTATATAAAATGACTATCAAAGGTTTGAACTGAGCCGTGTCTTGGCTTTTTGGATAGCCAATTTTATACCTTTTATGTTGAATGCTGAAGCTGTTTCGGAAATATAGATTGCAGTTTGAACAGCCAAAGCCTTCCAAAAGTGCTGATTTATCACCAGGATCCACTTAGAAAAAAGCAGAATTTTACTAAAAGATCCTAAGTCAAAACTTTTCTTAACGACACTTCAGACGCAAAGCAGTAATTGCGGTATGACCGGCGGAACGAGGCATAAACTTTCCGACGCCTGAGTTGTGGCGTAACACAAATCAGCTGAGGCACTGCATTCAAAAGATAAATCTCTTTTTTTAGGTTAAAAATGGTGCACAGCTCCGCATCGGATGCTGGCGTAAAGAAGTGGACAACGACAATTATCGTGTTACCTGCAATTTCAGGGCGGTCTGATGATGCCCGTTAATCATCGTTAACGAAAATATTCTTTTATAATGAAAGAATTATTGAATGTGTCACGTGTTGTCTGGTATATAAAATTTTTGCTCTCAAAATGTTGGCATGGCAAACAACAGAAGCAGGCACCAATTACCCATTTTCTAATAGAAACTATCAGTAGTTTTATGAGTTAACCTCTACAATCCGGCCTTAGTTAAACTTCATGTCGCAATATTTGTTTGTTTTCTGGCTTTGGGATCTCATCTGCAAGCCTTACAACGTTTTTGCTGTAGTTTTAAACTTAGAAGAATTTGTGACTAGGTCTAGACTGGCTATCAAGAAACGCTTGAAAGTTTGGTGAGCAGGTCAAAACGCCCACAATCCGACTTCATAACTCCCATGAAATCCACGATGGCGAAACTCCAGGTAGATTCTCCACCGCAAAATATGGTTGGCACACACAGTATATTACTGACTTTTCATAAAATTTCAAAAACGAAAGAGTATTTAAGCTTTGAATATTATCAATGCTGAGAAAAAGACTTGTGTAAACCCTAAAATGGAAATCACGGAAGCAAGACTCGAAGAACAGACAAAAAATTGAGTCAGGAAAGTTGCAAAAGACCAAATAGAGATCACAGACCAAATCAAACTATACCCCGCAAGACTTATATGAAAAAAATAGTACTGATTTGATTTTGTGCCACCGCTTAAAACAAAATAAATTACTGAAAACACCGGCCTTAACATTGTAAAAGGTTCCTCAACCAAACATTTATTTTTAATGTTTTCTTTTGGTTATTTGCAGTCATTAGTGGCAGAAAAAACCAGGCCTCTATAGCGCAGGTAACTTCTCGAACGTTCGTCGTTCTGGGAATTTTTTTTTGGTTGCAGCTATTACGGTTCAATAGTCAAAGTCTCCTCAACATTGTGAAAATGAATTTCCAAATATCTCCAGTCACAACCTATATTCTAAACATGTTTTAGATTTCGATCCCTAATTGTACACTGCAGAAGAAGGGAATAATTTTTCATTATCCCCGCACTTTGTAAAGTATATTAGGTTGAGCATGGATTTTGCAAAGACTTCTATAACTTTCTCTTTTAGATCTTCTAGACTCAAATTTTGCCATCATTTAGAGAGTTACGTAAATCTGCTACAGTTTTTCTAGCTCCGTATATTCTGATAATAACATGGAACATAAATGTGCATGTAAGTCTGAAAGTGACACCTTCAGTTGAAATGTTAAGCAAGTTGTTGCGTTATTCGCAACAACTTGCCTACCATTTCAGCTAAATAGCGATCTCACATCAGTGAAAAGGAACTGTAAGTTGAAGAGAAATTGAGATGCGCCATTGAGAACTCGCAATTGAATGCGTCAACGATGAATTCAAAATTGTCAGTGGAGAAAGTCAGCCAGACCTTGGCGAGACCTCGCAGGACTCGTCACATCTGTCACCGGTCCAAGTTGAATATCGATTTGGGACAAAAAACAAGGAAGATATCTTTGTTGTCGAAGGGACACAAAGACTGCGACGTTTTTTAGTCGACGTTTCGTTTTTTAAGGGTTTTTTACCTTCAAAATTCAGGAAAGGAGACTTCGTTTTAAAAATTTTCTGGTGCCAGCTCGTACCAAGCCTTGACACCTTGCGTAGTGGGGTAATTTGATCTGCTAAACATGAATATTACACTCATAATCGCCAACGTGATATATTGACATAAACAATTTGCTAATCTATTCTCAAAACACATTCTAATACTTTTTGTTGCAAAGTTATGCATGAAACTAAGATT